GAGGAGAGGAGGTTTTTGTCACACTTCCCCATCAGAGCGCATCACTGTGCCAACTGCAAGCTGCTGCCACTGCCATGAGCTGCTGCACAGTAATAATCGGCCTCGTCCTCTGCCTGGACTCCAGAGATGGTCAAAATGCCACTGTTGGTGGAGGTATCCTTGGAGCCAGAGAAGCGAGCGGGGACCCCCGAGCCTTGGCCCTTGCTGGAGTCTGAGTAATACCACAAGAGGAATCGTGGGGGGCTGCCAGGCTTCTGCTGGTACCAGTGCACATATTTCCCACTGACGCTGACTCCGCTGCTGAAGGCGCAGGAGAGCCTCACGGTGTTTCCCAGGGACACGGATGCGGACGGAGGCTGAGTGAGCACCAGCTGGGAGTGGGAACCTGGCGGAAGAGAAGGGGAGAGAGCGTCACATCAGCACCAGGCTCCAGACTCATCCCAGCAGGAAGGTCGGAGGATGTGGCGCCTCCCCCACCTGTGCCCCACATCACTAGGAGGCTGAGAACGGGAGCCCAGAACATGGCGGAGGGATCCGAGTCCCCAGCAACACAAGGAGGAAGCCCCAAGCACTGCCGGCCCCTGCAGCCTCCCCATTGATATGGGTCCTCTGAGCTGGTGGGCGGGGCACATTCCTTGAGCCTGCATGCAAAGCAGCTCCCACCCCACTCGTCCTGCTGCTCACGGGGCCGCGTCCCAGCGAGTGGGGCTGTGATCCCATGACGTTGCAATGGGTGCCTTCCGTGTCCTGGAATGTGGAAGTAGAAACAGGCTTCCGTCCCAGCAGAAGGGCTTTGCAGAAGTCTTCCTCTGTGCTGATGAACTGGGGGTCACCTGAGTCTGCAAACCCTCCTCCAGCATGACTGCACAACAGAAATGAATTTGCACACATTCCTTCCCTTGAAGCATTAATTGATTTGTGTTCCTGCTGCCTGCTAGCATAATGCACTCTCGGGAAACTGCTGTCCTTCCACCTCTGGAAAATGGCTTCCATTCGATTGCCTGGGTTTGGGGCCATTTATTCTTAAAATCTGCCTGCTTTTGCTTTCCTGACATACTGCTCTTCTGCTCTCCCTATAACACAGGATTGAATACTTCCCTCCCTTCCGAGTAGAGGTATTTCTATTCAATTGACTAAGATCCGCGGTGAGGGACACTGGCTGCACTCGTATAAACAGCATTTGCAGCAAACACAGGTGCGCACAACTCCCTTGCTCCTTTGAACTGACGGCAAGGGGCTCTAGACGAGGTCGCACTGGATCCAAGCAATTGCCAGCACCGCAGGATCGCCAACTCCGAGTCCCAAAATATCCCGTTTCCCTGTATGAAAAGTCTTCACACCAGGTTGAAGTGCATTGCAGAGCCCTTCCCCAAATTCGGTGAACAAGTGGCCGCCTGAACCCACCCAGCCTTCTTTAGTTCGGATGCACCATAAAAAGCAAACTTGATATCCTCTCTGGCAATGGGCTTCCATTACGTTTGCTGGGTTTCTTGCCGTTAGTATTTAAAGTTTTCATGCCTTGGGTTTTCGTTGATATTGTTCATCTCCTATTCCTACAATGCAGCTTTTGAAAACTTCCCTCCCCTCCAAAAAGATCAGTGGTGTTGCTTGCTAGGCCTGGGCTGCCCTCTGCTGGTGCAGTTAAGGGACTGCAGGGT